TGGTGTCTTACCCTTTTCTCCCAGTACTGTATGCTGGATCCTAAAAGCAATCAGCATTCTCTCTAATATTCAGTTTTTAATCTCTTAATCATTTTCCCCTTCGTTTCTCTTTTGTCAATTGAAGATGCATTGAAAAATCCACACATTGGCAGTGCTGTTTCCAAGAATGTCCATTTTTCTCCTTTTCTTGGCCAAAATGATTTCTTGCTGCTCCTTTAGGCACAGATTTTCTAGGTGGTTCTGCTCCGTTTGTTTGTCATGAGACACAGATAATTGGCTTCTTAACAAAATAGGGATTATCCTTTTCAGAATAGAGTAACTGGCTTACAGAAACCAAATTAAGGGAGATCAACGTAGGTTTGATAAGACAAGCCATTTTGAAACGTAGGTTTCCCCTGTGATGTGAATACCATTACCACACCACCCCCGACATCACTCTCTCCACTTTTGTGAGGATGTGGTGTAAATCGCTTACACAGCTGTGATTTGTCTTCTTTTTCTTCCCTGGCTTTTCCAATTTGTCATAGCTCGATCTGTTGCTGGTATGGCTAGTGTTCTTTGGCATAATGAGCAGCCCCCTCACACCACACATTCTTAGAAAATCTGAAAGTTGACTCAGGCCTTCTTTGTTTTTGCTGAGTAACAAAATACCCATCTTGATTTTTATATGTAATATTTCTGGCTCCAGAAACAAGATGGCAATTCTGTATCCTTCCCTGTTCGTCAGAAGTCAAATTGCCTTTCATTGATATCAAGTTCTTTAGCTTTGTTTTCTTTCTAGTTGTTATGGTTGTTTTTGTTTTATTTTGCACTAATCTCCCAAGGTAAAGGTGGCAAAGCCTAAGCCCCCTGTTCACTGCGTGAGGAACACGAGTGAGGCACGTTGACTGAATTGTAGCGTGATATCTCCTCCTCATCTTCACGAAGTTGGAATTAAATCATAACTTCCAGTTGTAAATAGCCAACCCATCTTATTGGCACGAGTAGATGTCTTGGGATCAAAGTGTATTAATATTTCGAGCTGCCCCATATTACTCTGTTTAATATCCCAAAATGTGTTGAAAACTGAGGAGTACAGGAAACAAGGAGAATCCCAATTTAC